TGCCGCGACTGGTGCTCCCGCTCCCGCCGGTTCTCCGAGTCCCTGTTGTCCTCCGACTGCACGTTGGACCCGAACGGGAACTCAAAGCTGTCATCAAAGATCCCAAAGGCAAATTGGCCATAGCCCTGGGGCAAGGTGAATAAGTGCTGATCCACGTTCTGCGAGGGAAGAGAGTTCAGGGAAGGGGTTGTAGCGAGGACAGAAACAGCTCTTGTGTTTCCTCAGCCTCCCACTAAAGACCAGTCTCTTCAGCTCCCCAGCACCTCACAAGCAGGTCAGCAATGGCTTAGTGAGGAACACAGACTGAAACCATGCATGAAAGGAAGAAATCAGCACAGGTTCTCTCCAGCTCCTGCATGTAGCTGCTGCCTTTGGTGCTGAGGCTACAGCACAGCAACACCCCCAGTCAGCTCCCAGCCCAACCCCAGTAAGCTACAAGGGATGGTCCTATTAAAAAAACAGGGTAAAAATACAACAGGCAGAAATGTCAGGAGCTGCATGGGGATGGTGTTAATACCTCCTTTCCCACATTCTGTCGTAATCCAGGGAACGTTTCATGGAAAAATACCTCAATTCAGTGGCAAAGCAGGAAGCGTTGGAAGAGATGGAGAGGACTCACCTCAAAAGGGTGCCTGCTCTGATCACTGGCTGATGTAGAGGAGCTGGTCTCATTGTCAGTGTTCCTGAGAAGGTTGAAGAGCACTTGTGAGCCTCAGGAGGGTGCTAGGAGAAGCTTTTCCCCAGCAGAAGGGAGGGAGGGTTGGAGGGTGACAGGAGAAGCAGACACCACAGCACACAGAAAGTGTTGGTTTGGTTTTGTGCGGGGCCAGAGCCCAAAGGGAGCTCAGAGCTTCCCCTGCACCCCAGGACAGGCCCAGCACCACACAGGAACCAGTCCTCACCCGATGGTTTTCCAATTGTCCATATCCATTTACGTTTTTCCCTCCCTGCAACCTTTGTTTCCCCACATCTCCCCCCATCTCTCCCTACCCTTTCAGCTTCTGACTGCAGGAAGCTACAGAGGAGTGAGTGAACCACGCTGTCAGGCGAGGATCCCCTGCACAATCCCCCTCCAAGAGATGAGCTAATCCTCTGGAGCACCAGGAAGAGAAGATTTAAAGAACAAACCCTGATCACTATGACCCAAACACGCCCGAGTCTAATCTTGAGTCAAAGGAACTTCTCTATTTCAGAGGCATGTGACCAAAAGGGGACAGATTACGAGGAGAAGTCTCGATGCTGTTCTGCTTTCAGAGAGCTGCAGGAACATTCACTGCTCAGTATCCAGGGCCACGCTTTGACATTCATGGTACCAAGCACCCTTTGGTTCAGAAACAACTCTCCCAAGGTCACAGCAAACCACTGCTACAGCTGCGATTAGCCAGGATTGATCTCCAGCCTCGAAGGTTGGTGTGGTCAGACCTGCTCAGTACAGAAACCTCAGTCTAAAGCTCAGCTCTCGCAGCGGGCACCAACACGTGCCTGGCACAGCCCCGGTGCCCTCGCATGGCCCGTCCCAAAGCCACAGCCAAAGGCTGCCAAACGCCTCAGACATTGTCCTGCTCTTGCCTGTTGTGGTAGTGCCAGAGCAGTGCCAGTGCTGAGTCAGCAGGGAAGCACGTGAATGCAGATCCCAGCTGCTCCGGTCCAAAGTCTCAGGCAAAATGTTGCTGTTTGCACTCTCTTAGATGAGAGGCTGAAGCTTACGTGCACCCTCCGTGCCACAGACTCCTCCGTCAGAGGGTTATCTCTACCCTGATGACTCAAACCAGCTCAGAACTCCCCCGTGCCATGGGGAAAGCCTCTCTCCCACCCTTCTGTGTTTGTTTTACACCAACCCATTCCTTCCCCACCCTGCTCCAGCAGCATACGACGCTCAGCATTCCCATGGCTGCTTTACCTGCAGATGCAAACTACAGGTTAAGCACCACGTACCCAGAGTGAGGAAAGATAAGCCAAATATTGGGCAGGAAGACCAAAGATGGCGTATTTAGTGCCCAACATTTCCCTTTAACTAGCAAAAGGGTTTAGCGAGGTTGCTCCAGCAACAGCCTTTGGGCAGCACATTACCTTGGCTCTTCAGGAAGTTCTTCAATAAAGCCAGATTCACATCGGGGGCAAATATAGTCCTATGGGAGAAGAAACAGAGTGAGGAAAGAAAGAGGCACATAAAGGCTGTGAAGAGTGCTCCCAAACCCCCTGCTATTTGTCTTCACCAGGCTAGGGGGGCAAACTTCAGCCTGAGCCTGTTGGGAACCCGGCTTGAGGCAAGATTTGGGTAACACTGATTCATCCCCACTATAGCCAAAGCATTCAAGAACATGTGATGCAGTTCTGGGGGAAGGGAAAGCCAAACCTGCAGCACCCAAAGCCCAGTTTGGAACCAACTGTGTGTTTTGGGGGCCAAGCCTCACCCCCTCCAGCGGCTGAACCATCACGATGAAAGGCACGAGGAGGGAACTGTGGTGTTCCACGAGTGGGGAATCAAGTGTTGCTGTTGCTTGGGAAGGGCTGAGGACTGGAAAGCTGCTCCTAATGCAGCCAGAGCTCCACACCACAGCCAGGGAGACACAAGGGGGCCATTCTGCTACACACAACCCTGGGATTTGACCCTCCCACACTCTCCAAGCTAGTTACAGAAAGCTGCTGCCCCCCCTCAAAGGCTGAATTCATCGGGTAGAAGCAGGATTCCTCAGGAGTTTGCCACACTTTGCCTCCCAATCCCTGGTGTTACGCTCCACACCCACTGTCCCAGCGAGCAGCAGCATCACCGAGTCACAAGAGGAAGCAACAGAGACTGAGGAGGAAGAGCCACCGTGGGCAAACACAAGCACTGGAAACCCTGGGGCGGGCTCAGCACAGAGGAGAACGAAGAGCTGCTGAAAAGAAAGCTCCTTCCCTTTCCTACTGCTGGGATTGGCCCAGGCCCTGCAACAAAGCCGAGGGATTCCCCAAAAGAGGGGAGGACGCCAGCACGTGCGTTTGCTCTGATAAGACATCTGGGATGGCTCCTTCCAGCCACCCCGGAATAACCTGATAAGGTCCCAGCACACGGATCCTGCCCAGTGAGATAAGGAACCAGCAAACACAAGACCTAGAAACAGCCTCCCGAGAAGCTGCTGCTCCCTCTCCTGCTCGGGAGGAGCTGTGGTGGTGGAACAACCGGCTCCACGCAACTCGCACCGCGTTTGATCTCCAGAACCACCCAAATTCTCCTCAGAGCCTGTCACCAGCGCACGGGAGCTCCTGTGTGGAGCACAGGGAATCAGCTCCCCTCGGCCTGGGAAATACCCCCCGTCTTGGTTTACTTTCCACCACGGGGGTAAATGATTAGAGCAGCTCCCAGCTCACTCCTCTCACCCCTCCTGGCTTGAGGCTGGTGTGTGTGTGTGCTGACACACTCCCAACACCGGGATCAGCAAATTCCTCTGCAGCTGGAACAGCACAAATGTCAAAGTTTGCTGGTTTGGGGCTGCCTGAATCGCTCCTCTCGCAGCATGTGCCACAGTAGCTCCATCTGCAAAGAGCGCAGGAAACCAAACGACCTTGGACCCCCAAAAGAAGTTAATTAAGCAGCAATTAACGAGACCTGAGTCAACAAAAGCCACCGTTGGCTCCCTGCTACGGTTGAGTGTGTTCAGGGCCAGCTGTGCCCCGGCAGCGCAGCCCTCACGGGGTGTTAAACAACAAACAGCCCATAGTTCCAGGTCACAACCTCCAGCTCCTGAGCTGTTTTGCAGCCCCTCGGTGTATTTAGCAAGAGCTTTGTCCTCACACCTAAAACCCGAACCGGTAACGCCGATGGAGGAGGTGGAAGGACAAACAGCACA